AGTAAAGTATGACTACTGCTAAGTGAAGCAAGTATTTCTAGAGAAAGTTTTGAAGAAATGCTTCTTCAGAAGTGGTAATCAGGGATCTACTTTCAGATTTTTTTATGTATTATTTAAACTTACTATTACAAAATAAACTCATTATAATTCAAAATGAAACCTTTAAAATTTTGATATTTTTTTATAACTTTGACTAGTATATCTAAACTAATAGTATTATATACCTTTGCTATATTTTGAAAAAGGACCTATAACTTTTTTTTATTTTTTCTTGCTTCTTTACAAATATTATTAAGAATTTGGATTATTCTGCTATACTTACTCCTGATAGTTCTGCATAGTTGAAATCTTATATAATATCATTGACTTTGTAAATATTTTCTAATCTATTTATAAGAATCTTTGTGAAGTACTTTTGTTTAACTTTTAGCAATACTATCAGTCTTATATTGATAAGTTTATACTCTCGTGACTTTGATTTTGCTATAGAATAGATATGACTTTATTTTCAACTATATGAAATAACTTTATATTTTAAAAAATAGTTAAGTATTTTTCTCAGATATTCTTTTTCTTCTTAATCCAATCATTTTAGTATTTCATAACTAATTTGTAATTTTTCTGAAGCTTTATATTTGGGAGTATGTGAAGTATTTCATTTAATTCTTTTTGAGAAATCAGCTTTAAAAGATCTTTATATCATTTTTCTTCAATATGGCTTCTAGAATTGTATTCTTCTTTCTAGTCTTTTGTCAAACAGTTGAAATTAGTATCTTATATTTTAAATATTTCTTGATGATATCATCTTATCATATTTTTTTATTGTTATATAGTCAATTTCCTATTTCTGACTTTGAATCTATTTAAAACTATTTTGATTTGCTCTTTGTCTGTCAAATAGTTTACTATTCTTCTTTGATTATTTTACTAATTATAATATCTTTGTTCTAAGGTCTTTTTGATAACATCTCTTGTTTATCTCATCTTTACATTTTGATAGATTAACTTTAGACCTTTTATTGCATCATGTATTTTTTTTTTCAATAGTGTCTATAATATATTTGAAATATTATATTGAATATAATAGTTTTTAATTTGATAATTGAAGTTATATACAATATTATATTATTGATTGCTATATTAATGGCTTGAATTTTAATAGATTCTTGTGAGGTTTCTGCTTTCTTGAAGAGTGTTTTCAGTGGAAGAGCTCAGCTATATTTGATATATTCTAGATCATACTTATATTGTTTTTCTTGTGAAGTAGATATCTTCTTACTTGCAAACTTATTGTATGTCATTTTATATATTTGTTCTTTAAACACCTCCTATATTAAGTTCGATTAAGTTTCTCTTCTACTCTTTTTTGGCTCTTCTTGTAACAAAGAATTTAATATTATTCTAAACTTATAGTTTACACTTTTCCCAAATGCCTACCATTATTCTACTATTAATCCTTTAATATCAATTTTCTTTTATTTTTTATAACTGGTTTGTTGATAATGTCTTTTATAAATAGATTGTCATTATATAATATTATCAGTAGTATTATGTGATCATTGCCTATAATATTTTTATACTTTGATTATCAAAATATAGTAATAGAAATTTTGTGAGGCTCTGTGATAATTATATATAATCTATCCAGCTACTGCTAGTAACATTCTATCTTTTTGGAGTTTTGTTTTTTTTTTTTAATAATATTTGTATATTATAAAAGCCCATTCATCCAAAAAGTTTAATAATAGAATTTCTGAATATCAAGATAGTTTAAATATTATCCTAAAAGTTAATACTCTATCTTCTGCAGAGTTGTATGTAATATTGAAGTCTTTCATAATTACTATGTGAAAATTATATCTATATTTTTCTTTGATAAAGTTTTGTACTTTTTCTTATACCTTTTTACTTTATTGCTTATTTGAGAGAATATAAATTTAGATAATGCAGATTTATTTCTTTTTATGAGCATGTCAACTACTATTATACTGTATATTCTTTTACCTCCTTTACTGGTACTATTTTTTTTAAATTTTTTTTTACTAATATACTAACTCCTGCACTATAGAAAGTATCTTTGTTATCTTTTTTTTGCTATTGTAATGGTTTTATCCTAGAAAAAAAAGTTTTGATATATTTGACTTATGCTTTATTGGATTTGATAAATATTATACTTTGCTTTTTTTTCTATAATATTACTATTTTGAGAGGTTAATTCATGGGTTTTTTTTTAAAAACTGTATATTGGTTCTGCTTTTGATTGATACAAATAATAAATCTCCCAGCTTACTAATCTAATACTTCTAAAAGATATGTCTATACTTCCTAGGTATTATCCTCTTTTTATATACCCTTGAGTCTTATTATAGATATAGTTTCACTTAATAGTTTCTTATAATATATTAATAAAGTTCTTTTTTGATCAAAGGTACTAACATAGAAGAGACTGTGTTCTGTATTCATATGTATTATAGCCCAATATCTTAAAGTGGGTTCAGATTCTTATGGAGTTGAGGAAATGCATGTAAGGTAACCAATATGAGCTTGTTTATATTCTTTTACTAATGTATTTTCTACTAGTCAGTCACTACTTAAAAAACTTTGTGCTACTCAAAATTCAGGATCAAATTAAAGTAAACAAAATTCATAGAAAAAACTAAGAAAGAACACTTTTAGAGCAAGTATATGACAAGAAAATGGGTAGTTATCTTCGATATAAGTTTTTTATTATCAGAAAAACTCTATATTATTTCTCTAATAGACAAACAGGTAGTAACACTTTAGTTTTTATTTCTTTCAGAACTTTGGTAGAAAAGATGTATTCATAACTTTAATCACTAAAAGTCAGGTTTTTGTTTAAAGAAAATGTTTATAAGAGAAAGGAAGAGTTAAAGATGCCTTTTAAAGTATTATTTCAAGTTGGTTTAAGGAAAGTAATAAAACTTTATTAATCAAGAAATATAAAAATATCTTGTGAATATTTTTTTTTTGTATATGATTAGGAGATCAAATTAGAGTATTTATATTATTAAAGATCAAAGAAATCAGACCAAATTCAGAATTATTACAGTGATAATATATGGACAATCAGATATGATAAAGCTTATACAAAACAATTAATTACTGACTATCACTATACCCTTTACAAGACAGAAGAATATACAAATAATCTATTATGTCAAAAAGATAAAGAAGGAGTAATAGAAAATTAGCAAACCATAAAGTAATTTATGTATAACATAATATTAAAATAATTATATTGATTATATAATAGTCATATACTGTATAAAAAAGGATATAAAAAAGACCTGTAGATCTATAGCACAGTGGTAGTGCTCTCAGGTTGCAATCACAAGGTCCATAGTTCAATACCACATGAGGGTCATGTAAAAGATTTATGGAATGGAAAAACTGTCTATGATGTAAAACACAACCAGATCTCAGAAAATACTAATTATCTCCATTCCAGTTTCATACAAACAGGGTTTTTCCACTTCTGGTTCTAAGTAGGTTTTTCTCTCTATAAAAGGCACAATCAACATGGCTGAACATAAACAAATCTGGGAAAGGTATCAAACTGGCAATAGCATTATGTCCATCAAGAACCATTTGAAAGGTGTACTTCTCTTTTCACAGAAACTAGCAAGTCAAGCCTAGCAAGTTAGTTGGGAGGAATTCAGAAGGATTAAAGATCCAAAAATATGGGTATCTAGGTTTCCTAGATAGGTAGTAGTAAAAATTTAATCCATTGGATATTTCTGGGCAACAAGCCATCTGGTGGATCCTTTAAAAGTAGGGTTCTAGGAATATTTATCAATATGAATAATAAAAATATGTATTCCCTACAATTAAATTTGTAAATTACTTTATCAAGTTAATAATGAGGCTGAGCTTTCTATTCCACAAAATATAAAAGGTATAAATATGAGAATTGAAAAAAACTCTTCTCTGAAAAATTCTAAACCACTGAAAATTACCTTATTAAGCAATTATACAAAAATCAACTCGTTTCTTGTTATCAAATAGCTATAGTGAGAAAAATGTGATTACCTTATAAGAAACCAGAAGTGTCAATAAATAAATAAATAAAATAACAAGAAACAATAGAAGAATTATAAAACCTAAGGCAACAACCTCTATCACTCAGTTTAAACACATTCCACTTGATACAAGACTTATGATTCAGATGAAGATGCTAGGAAATGTAATAGAGAAAGGAAAGAAAAAGATGGCAACTCTTATACCAGAAAGTAAGATAAAAACTGAGGTTTAAACCTAGGCAACAGAGTCAATAAAGGCAAGGGAGCAAACAAGACCATCAACTCTTATCATTATCACCATAATTAGCAATCCTAACTCTCCTATATAACTGATCCAAAATTTTTATTTAAATATTACTGAACAAACAGCTTTCAGTTATGAGAAGGAGACTTAAGGAAATATGTAAGAAATATTTAAAGATATGGATTACTTAAAAATCAAGAGACCCAGAAAAGCTCTCATCAATCCAGATCTAGTTCCAGGGCAATTACAAGATGAAAAAATCAAGCTAATCAAACAAAAAATGGTGGGGCTACACTTCTTAGAACATGTACATTATGAATATTCAACTGGTTACCCAAAAGTTGCAGCTATTTTCGACAATTAGAAAGACATACATAAGTCATGTAAGATCAATATCACAGACAATAAATTTGACAAATTCAGAAGGATTGACTATTCAGGATCACATAAGAACAAGTCCTGAATCATTAAAGTATGGGACATTTCATAACACTTTATCAAAATAGATCTAGCAGAGTTTTTTGACAATCAAATTAGTATTGATTACATAATCATACAAAGAGCAGGCTCTTTTTAATCAGCCAACATTACTTTCACAAATATGTTAGACTATATAAAAATTGGCTGGAAATAGTCAATTGGATGTGACAACCACTTTTGCAGAATATTCTCTTTCTATAGGACACATAAAATTAAACAAGAAAGAGAGTGCTTTAATGCAAAACTTAATCAACTACTCCAACATTACAGCTTTAAATCTGGCAGTTAAAGATGGGTCCCTAAAAGGGGAGGCAGGGACATAAGTCAAATGTCCCTCACTAGAAAACATTAAAAATTTTAAATTAATAACTATAAAAAAACTACTCACAATTATTTTCCATTATCCAAATAATTGATTTATAATATTTCCAGATTTTTGTCCCTATTGAAGTGAAGAGTTATGAATTTTGTCCCTCAAAAAAGGACATAAATGATCTGCAAAATTTTACATGCTAAATACTTTAGGGACCTATCATTACTGGTAGTAATCATCACAAGCATGAAAACAAAATTATGCTATATTTCTTGGAACAATAATAATCAGGTCAAAAGACTCATCTTTATCTTCAAGACATAGGAAGATCTTCAAGTAGCAAAGACAACAGTATATATGATTAGAGAAGTACAGACACAATGGGTCAACTGTAAAATCAGACTATGCTTTATATGTAACTCACCAAAACACAACTTTTCTCTATGCCCAGAGAAACCAAAAGTCACATTATTGAGACAATATGCTAACTGATTTAACAATCCAAGGACCTCTTCAAGGAATAGATCCATGATCTCATCAAACCACAAGTACAAAAATTCCAACTATATCAACAATCCCAAAAGCTACACAAACATTGTCAAATATTGAGGCAATACAAACAACTACTCCATAGAAGAAGACCTCTACAACCTACTTCTCTTCTTGCAAAACAAAATTCAAGAAATAAAAGACTTTCTCAAAGATCTAGATAAAAGGGTTGATGCCTTAAAACAGGAGTGTGCCAATAAATATCCAGAAAGTATTGATAAACTAATGAAGAATTAGAGAAGAATCTAGAAATAAACAAGATGACATTGAAAACAACCTTAAACATCAACATCCAGAACATCAGAGTATCACAAGAAGCCTATAAAAAACAATTTAACAAAATGAGCTTCATGATGAAGAAAACAATCAACCTATTCAAACTCTCATAACCGGCAAGCTTATTAGGATCCAACTCATTACAATAAAATAATAGAACAAACACTAGGAAAAATTCTAATAGAGATAGATAAATCAATCAACAACATATCCAATGCAATAATTAAATATCAAAATAATCAACAAATATAGCAAATACCTCAAACATGGACAACAATATAGTCAATAACTGAAATATTGATACAATAATTATTAAAGACATCAATGAAGAGAATAAACAAATCTTACTCACAACCTTTGCAAAAGAAAACCAATATGATATAATAGAAATCACAGAAATATGATTATCATACAACTATAAATAAACAAAAGAAGATGATGAATATAGGATATGAACAATGAGAGACACAAAATATTAAATGGGCACAGGAGTCAAAATTATTATTAAAAAAAATAGATAACATATATTTATAAATCTGAAACCTGGCAAGACAAAAATATATATATTGACATGGTCTTTAAAGCCAAGATTAAATATAGAATAATTATAATTTACAGCCCCACAAATCTCACACAAACAAGAAACAAATATAACTTAGTTAAATGGCTAGAGCAAACTATTCAGGAAGTAACAAACAAGAACTTTTTCACAATGGTACTGAAGAACTTCAACGAAATAGTTGACAATGAGCTAGATATCATCTTGAATAAAAAAAAAGCCGGTATTCACAATAGAAAACTAATTAATATGCTCATTACCCTCGACTTTATAGACATATACAGATATTTAAACCCATACATAAGAAGTTATACATATATTAGAAGTAAAACTGGATATGGCAGCAGACTGAATTATATATAAATAATAAGACTTTTTGTCTAATACATTATCAGTGTATCACATATAATACTACCACAACTATAGCTACAGATCATAAGGTGGTCACTATCACAACAAGCATACTATACAAGTACTGGAATAAAGTCACAAATAGGAAAAACAATAACACAAAGCAAATTGACTATGAGAACTTAATCAATAAACAATGGAATGCCTTCAAGAAGGCTACAAAGGAAAAGGCTACAATGAACCCATTATGCAGATCTTCCACATTAGAAGAGCTCTAAAACCATTTCAAAAACATATTGCTGGAAGTCAGTAAAAAGTACTTAAAAAAATGAAAAAAGAGTAGAAATATCAAGACAATTTATATTTCCAAATACAGAAATATAATAAGATTTCCACTTCTAATAGAAAAAACTTACAGAATATATAAAAGATACTTGAACAGCAATACACCAGATATCAAAATAGAAAAAAGTTAACAAAAATAATAGGAGCCATAAATAAAAATGGTAAAAGAATTGATAGTCTATCAATCAACTAACACAATAACTCAAACAGTTGCATTCAATAGTACCAGTGGCTGAAGAAACTATAGGAACACTAAAAAATAGAAAACAAGATGGCTTAACAAGTGATTGAGAGAGAAAAAAATGAAGATAATTGATAGTTAAATAGAAAAGTGCTTCAAATTCCTATAAGATCAATCAAGAAAATTGGTAGACAGTATACTAGATAGGCCTTATAGAAAGATAGATACAAGTAGACTAATAAAACATATCATAATAGATGAAATTATAATTGTTATAGATCCAAATAAAATTAAGACCAAAGTCAGAAACCACTTTGAGAGATGAACATAATATTGGAAGACTGCAAACTTGCAAAACTATCCAAATTTAATTAACAGATATGTTTCAATTGAATACATCAATCTAGAATAGTACAATCAGTACATATTCAGGATCAATACTCAAGAAATTAGAAAAGCAATCCAAGTCAAAAACAAGTACAGTGCATCAGGATCCACAAAAATACTATATATATTGTTAAGGAATCTAAATCTCAAGGGTCTTTAGCTCTTAGAAACAATTTACAACCAGATTATTGAAACAGGAAAAGTTTCAAAAGAATAGAAACAAGGAGAAATTCATCCAATTCCTAAATCCAAAGACTGAATAGGAGAAGCAACTGGGCAGAACTCCCAAGTAGTAGTACACAACAGTTAATACACATAATAAACAATCTCTTGGAAGAAAAAAAAAAGCAAGGAAAGAGGAATGAATCTTTAACCAAGACATAAGCTGTAAAAGACTTTATTTCAATAAGTCAGTGAACAATTGTTATTTGACCAACAAGATAACAAAGTTGTTTTATTTCAGGAGAGGCTTTTCCTCTCTATATAAGAATCTAGTCTAAAGTACTTTTTAGTTAAAATATCATAAATAAATCTATAAATACAATAATTAAAAATACATAAATCTTGACATAACGGATGTCCAGACTTATGGGGCTATAATATAACTTAAAAAAAAAAACAAAAAGAAAAATAATAATAATAAAAGAAATCTATTGGTTCATGCTACTACGGATCACTAAAGATGATCACAGATGATGTTATGCGCAGAGTTCAAAAATAGTAGACAGGATGGACTTCGGGTTCATAGTCACACAGAGTCATGTATACTTACACAGAATTGATAGGGGCAGGTGCGGATTCATTACATAAGCAAAGTATATGACTCGATAAACAAAGATATAATAATACTGGCACTGAAACATATCAAACTTTCAGGAAAAATTATAAATATTCTAGATAACACTTTAATAGATAAATATAACAAAGTCATTACAATATATGATTATACAAAAGAATACAAAGTTCAAGATAGAATCAATTAAGGAAACACTATATTTCTACTCTTGTGAAGGATTTTCTATGACCCCTTGATACAAGAAATAGAAGACAAAAAGATAAAATATAAATTAAAGGTAACATAAAGTACAACAGACAATAATATCAGAATATTTCAACACACCATATTACAAATAGTCACAGTAACAGTATACATGGATGATATTACCTAGTATGCTTCAAATAGATCCAATATGCAAAGTATCCTGAACTTAGTATTCTAATTCCTTTATATCAATAATATATAGGCCAATAAAAACAAATTATCATTTATTTGTATCAACACAAGCAAAAATAACTAGGCACAAGGAGTTACTTTAATAGGAACCAAGGTCATATCCTTGAAAAAAAATGAGAAAGCTTATATCCTGAAAGTTTGAATATTAAAAGATGGAAAAAAACAATATCAAAAACAACTAATCTGAAAAAAAATTGACAATATAATCAACCTTATTAAATAGAAAAGAATTACAGATAAACAAGATGATATATAATTAATTATATATTATATCTAGCAATCAAGTATCTTCTCAATAACATGATTCTATATAAACAAGAATGTGATTGACTTAACAGCAAGATATTTAAAACCTTCAAATATAATATCAACTTATCTAAGATAGCCCACAATATCATTATTTATGCAGACTTCAAATACAAACTTTTCAACATATAGAATAGACAGATTATGCTATATGGAAATAACTGAAAAAAAAAATCAATGGATCTAACACATGTGGTAAAACAGCATGGATTAGACTGCAATAACTCCAGAATCAGTTTGGTCAAATACATCAAACTTAGAAGATAAATACCCCTTTTGAATCAAAAAATAATAGAATCTCACAAATGATATCCTTAATATGCTTAAGGTATAGGATATTATATTTGAGATAACAAACTATATGTCAATTTGCACTACATCTTATAGAGGAAATACAGCTATTAAAGATATTATATCAGGTAAATAGTATGATCAAAATAAACAAGTTTTAAGGAAAAAAGAATTCTATTCAAGGAACAACTTATGAATAATGATCTATTAAGATCCCTTATATGGTAACAATTAAGGACAAGAAAAGATAAACAGGAAAGGACTCCTGAATGGTTTCAAAACTTATGACAAATCATATATATAGTTCCAAATCAAAACTTATATACAAATATAGTAGATTTTCTTACTAGTGACACCAACAACAGTTTTTGCACAACACTCCAGTTCTCCCATTCCAGCCATAAACAACAATTAAGTGGATAGCTTTTTTTTTGAAGTGTTAACTCATTTTTGCACCAGTTTTGAAACTTTATTAGAGTCATGATAAGTCTTAGGGACAATTAAAATAAGTAATTACCCATATTGTCTAAAGATTTACAGATCAACTAATAGTGCAAGGAACATCTATTTATATCTCATCCAACTAGGATATGTAACTATGTGACTATCTAGTGTAGAATTATTTTCTTAATTTTAACTTAGCTAAGGTTTGAGGAGTCTTATACATTCAAATTTAATAAATTCATCCCTTGGTTGATCTTTTATACTCAAAAACAGCACTTTCTAGGACTATGGTCCATCAAATGACTTGTTACTATTCCCAATATTTAGGGAACTAACATATCAGAAACACATCTAAGATATCTAGTACTACTGATGTTAGGAATTTCTTATATGAAATCTTCTGTTGACTTTGTTAGTACTTCAAGATTTTTCTGGAGAGCTTATCATATATGTGATATTTGTTTTGTTATATAATTGGAGCTTAGTTTTATATAAAGAACATTGATTTCTTCATTGTTATCCTTGATTGTCAGATTATGTTTATATCTTCAGTGTCATTATAGTCCTGTCTTGATCATTCTATAAGTGATTAGGTCCTCCTTCTTTTATTTTAGGGATGGTCAGTTTTTTATACTTAAAACCTTTATACCACTTATTTTGACTATATTTGTAAAATCTTGTATTATATCTTGTCTTGTTATGGCTGCAATAAGTGGATGGGGTCCTTCTTATCTTCCTATTCAGGTACTTGAAACTGGTTGTATGTAGAAGACTTGTTTACTCATGCTAGCCTTATATAGAATCTTGTATTTATTTATCATTCTTACTATAGGCGTGATAAGCAAACGGGTTCTCTTTATTGCCTTGTAGAGCACTTAATTATCAGCATAGAGGGATAAGATCTTCATACTACCTTGTGACTTGATTTTCACTTTGATTCTTATATAGTATTGAACTTTGAATCTTGTAATTGCAACCTGAGAGCACTACTACTATGCTATTGATCCACAAGTATATAATCAAATGAATAGCTATAGAATCAGATTATAAAATTGCAATATACAGAAAAAGAAAAATGGCAGATTTAAATAACTTAAGAAAAATTTTTTGAAAAAGATCTCTAGAGATTTTTGAACATAAAATTCTGAAGGTACTTCATTGTTATTAGAAGTTTCTGGAGTAAAGATTTATATATAGAACTCTAGAGATTTTCAAAATTTTTAAATTTTAATAAAATAATTTCATATTATTATTAAAATATTTATTTTTAAAATTTTATTTATAGAAAATTACTTTTTTTACATATTTTTATTAATTATTTATATTTATATCACTCATTGCTAAAGTAAACCTTTCTATTTCTACATTTTCCAGTTACAATTTTGGATTGTTTTTATCATTTTCTACTTTTTCTAGAGTATTTTGAATTTTAATATCTTCCTACTCATGCATTTCTTGATTTTTATTGCTTGAATTGCCTTCTTAAATCTAATTTTCTTTTTAATTTTTTCTTAAAATATATTATTAGTAAATAAATAACTCTATAATACTTCGAAGAATTTTAAAACTTACTATATTTTTTTTCTATTTTGCTTTTAATTAATGCTTCATAAATTAAAATACTTTCATTACTCAGATTTAGAATTGTTTGACATATTGCGATAGCAAATGCAACTTGTTCTTTGAAAGCATTCTCTTTTGGCCAGACTTTTTTAAGAATACATATCATCATGCATTGATTTTCTTCTCTAAGACAGACATGAAGATTTTTAAAGCATTCCCAGGTTTTTTATGATTTTTTTCAGGCTGTAATTTTGATAGCAATTGCATTTGTATTAATTGTATCCAAGGAGTTTTTGCCAAAGACTAAAAACATAGCATCCCAGATTTTCAAAGTCATAATTTCTCAAAGTGATCTGTATTGTCTTACAAGTTATTAAATAAATAATATTGTTAATAAATTTATTTATATTATTAATATAGTGGTGATCAAAAGTTTTGTATAACATGGATAAAAAAAAAGAAATTGAGACATTATTTGATCTAATAATAACAAACGAAAAAAAAATAAATAATTTGAAAGTATAAAGGTATGGATATTAGTAACAATCTTTAAATTATGTGATTTACACTAATTTTAATTTTTTTTGTTTATTTGTTTTCAAAACTTGCGATGCAAATCATGTGATCGTTTACATATAAAAGATTGCCATATAAGTTACTCTAAAAATTTTTTTTGTAACCAAAAAAATTCTGCTAATGAAAGTTACGGATATTTTTTCGCACATTATTTTTTTTTAAGTTCTTACCTTGTTATATAAACATGGTCCGTATTTCTGATAAAAAATGTTCTCGAATTTATAGTCTTATCAAAGAAGGCTATCCTACCCATGTTATTGTGAAAAAAGAAAATATCGCACAATCATCAGTTGTTCGAATAGGCCAGAAAGTTGAAGCAACTGGATCTGTAAAAAACTTACCAAAATCTGGATGTTCACGAATATTTACAACACAAGATGAACATAGTGTTATCCGTTTATTTGCATCTGATGAATGTTCAACTGCTGCAGAGATCCAAAAAAAATTAAAAATTTATGAAAATATTGTAGTAAGCATAGACACTATAAAACATATATTACGAAGAAATAGACTTACTTCTCGAGTTAAGAAAAAAAAATCAATTTTAGGCAAAAAATGTCACAAAATTCGTTACCAATTTGCAAAAAAATATAAAGATTGGAAAATTGAAGACTGGCATCATGTAATTTGGTCAGATTAGTCTAAATTCAAGATATTTGGATCTAATAGACATCAATACTGTTGGAAATGGCCAAACTAACTATTTAATAAGCGAAATATAATTCCTACAAAAAAGTTTGAAGGTGATAGTGTGACAGTATGTGAATGTTTTTCTTTTTTTGGAGTTGGTAATATCGTACGAATCTACGGAACAATGGATGGAGATTTATATCGACAAATATTAACTGAAGATCTTTTAAAAACAATCGAGTGGCATGGATTAAACAAAGATGATATTGTTTTTCAACAGGATAATGACTCAAAGCATACTGCTATTGAAACTAAAAAATGGTTTTATCATAATGCTATTGAACAACTTGATTGGCCATCATACTCACCTGATTTAAATCCAATTGAGCATTTATGGAATGAAATCGACCGACGTATACGACAATCATCTATAAAAATTAATAATCCGGATAAACTTTGGGAAGCTATTCAAAAAATTTGGATTGAAATGGATGTGGAATATATTAACAAGCTTATTGAAAGTATGCCTCAACGTATAATTGATGTTTACAAAGCAAAGGGAGGGTATACGGAATGGTAGTCTATAGTTTTTTTAAAAAAAAATTATGTTATATATTTTTTTTCATTTTTTTTTTTATTGAATTTATATTTTAACAAAACGGGCAAAAGAAATGCATCATAAAAAATTAAATTAAATTTTATTTTTTTTAATTCGTGATTTATAACTAAATAAATAAAATTAGTTTTAAATTATTTAAGATTTGATAAATTAAATAAATAAAAATTATAATAAATTATTGTTTACTTACGAAGTTATTCAGTTGCAAAGTTCGCGAGTTAAGTGATGCAAAACATTTGATCGCCACTGTATCATTCCACGTCAATTTTCTTTTTTCCTGCCTAATACTTGAAATTAATTGTCTTTGGTACTCTTTAAATTTTCCTGACACGTTAACTGCGCCCACATTCCACTAAAACATAAAAAACACAATTTATATATAATACACGGAAATTAAAAGTTCAATTGCTACTACATACCTCGTCGAATGAACCAGACATAATTTGCTCTTCTAATGCATCTAATTCGCCATCTTCAAATTTTATTACTTCATCCTAATCAAAATTATCAATTAAGATTGTTTCGATATACACGTCCTAATTACTACCACATACCTCGTCAGATAAACTAAAAAAAAATTCATCTAGTTCATCATCTTCAAATCCCATCACTTCGTCAGGGTCATCATTATTAAGAACATTGTTTTCCCAATCAAATCGTCAATCAGCAATTATTAACATTATTTCGATATGCACTTACATAATAAAGATACTTACAATTGATTCATCCACTTCATCGGGATAATTAACGTTTTTCACATTCCGCTAGATCACAATAGTATAAATGACAATTAACGGAAGAAACATGACAACGGCAGAACTAAATAAACTCACATTTTTTGTATTAGCCCCTTCATCTTCTACATCTCCAAAACGTTTTCTTGGAGCTTTACGATTATCATTGTATATAAATCCAGCCGAAGTTGCAAGCTGGTTTAACCGCTTCACCCGCAGACTTCGGATACTGGCACATGCTTGTTGAATATTCTTCATCGGCGCGGTCCATTTCTGAGCAAAATAAAATACGTTAAATCTTATGCGATAGCAAAAATAACAAATAAAAATTTAAAACACAACAGTATAAGACAAATGAACGTCGGAATAAAAGGTTGTCCTTAATGTGTATACCTTCCAGTTGTCAAGGATTTCTCGAGCTTTTCTCCTTTTTTCCGGACTGAAAGAAATAGAATCTTCCACCAATAAGAGGTCTTTTTTAATGGAGTCAAATGTCCTCTTTCTATCCTTCTGCTTCTTCTTCAAACGATAATATTTCAATAAAGCCACGCACGTCCAATTCTCGATTGCATTTTCTTGGTAAAAATCCATAACGCGTCCAGAATTTGATAAATGTGCAGATGTACGCGCAATTATCGCTTAATATAGTAGATCACGGTAATATGATTGGCGTAGTGGATCCGGTCCGATGCTGGCCGGAGTTATCAAATGCTGGCCAATTTGGTATAATTATAGCGACCGTTAGTCAGTTTATTTATCAAAAGAATACATAAGTGCATATTCATTCGGTACAGTACATACTACAGCTAACTTATCATTGGCAAATGCCTTTAAGTTTGGTTTTGAAAACAATTTGTTGCTTTATAATAGATTTTGAATAAAGATTCTTCTAGTCTATATATTATTACTAACAGGTTGTCATTATCAAGTATTCTACTGGTTAGATTAAGAAAAAGAGGAATATCTAAAATATACAAATGTATTACAAGAAAATGAAAAAATAAAAAGAAAAATAATTATTTCTCTTTAAAGATTCTTACTAAAGATCTTTTTTTCAATATAATTTATCTAATTGAAATATTTTTTTTCTTAATCATCTGAGAAACTTACTTATTCATTTTTCTCATATATCATTTGAAATATTTATTATTTTATAAGAATCTTATACTAAAAACATATCTAATTTCAATTTACTTTAAATAATAATTTTTTATTTAATTGTAATTAATAATGAGTCCCTAAAGTATTTAGTATATAAAATTTTACAAATAAATTATATTCTTTTTTTAGGCACAAAATTTATAGCTCTTTATTTTAATAAGAACAAAAGTTAGGAAATACTATAAATAAATGATTTAAATAATAAAAAAACAATTGTGAATAGTGTTTTTTTATAGTTATTAATTTAAAAATTTTAATGTTTTCTAGTGAGGGATATTTGATATTTATTCCTGCCTCCCTTTTAGGAATGCATCTTTACTTGCAATAAAAATAGTTAATTTATAATAAATCTTGAATTTTTATATAACTTAATAGAAATCAAGTGAAAAATCTTCTAATTAAAAGAATTTTACTAATATATATCTCTCATTATCTAAAAAATCTAATTCTTCAATATTAATTTTATATTATAATAATATAAAAGTTTTGATATAGAAAAGAAGATTCTTATTAATTATGATATCTTCTTATAACTTTTGAAAAATTATATTCTTAGTTATATTTAAGGAATTAAAACTTAGTATATTTAGAAATCTATCGGATTTATTATCTAATTGAAATAAAAAAGAAATCTTATTTTTAAAATTTTTTTTGATCAGAATAATAGAAAAATAATCTTAGTTTTAATGAACAATAGCTTTTTTATTATTTAAAAATTTATTACTTGATTTTTATTGATCTTTTAAACTTAAAATCAATAATAATTTAATTAGAAAGAAAAATAAAAATAAGCATTGATTAATTTTTTAATTTTAATTATATAATATTATCAAAATATATATTATAATTAATAAAAATATATTTATATTATATTTTTAATATATTTCTTGTCAATTAATTATTTTTAATAAAAATTATATCAATTTGCATTATTTTAAAATTTATAATTAAGTTGAAATAAATAAAATTTTTAAAAAGTCTAAAAAATAAATAATTATAAAAAAATAATTACAATAAATAAAAAAGTTTTCAAGGTTTAAGTTTTTATTTATCTATTTTTTTTACTATAATAGATTTATATATGTATATAACCTATTTTTATTTTAAAAATAGAAATAAAATTGAAGTAACTCTTTCTGCTAATCATTTAACCACACACAAAAAAGATATTCACAAAAAGTTTTTATACTTATAAGCTAATAAAGTCTTATTACTTTCCTTAAATCAACTTGAAAAAGCTTCAAGAACCATTATCTACTTCTTCTCCTATTGCTTACTCTCCTCTTCAAACAAAAACCTAATCTCTAGTGACCATAAAAGGTCAAGAAACACCTTTTCTACCTATGATAAGAAAGTTCTAAAAGGAAAAAGAACTAAAGTATCATCATCTTATACTATAAAAAAATACTACAGAAGTATGTACTCAATAAGAGATAGTTTTTATACTTTCTTGTTACCTTGCTATCTTCTCATAGTACTTGTTCTTGATTTTTTTAGAGAAATTTTGCCTATCTCAGCTTGACCCTGAATTTTAAATAGTACAAAGTTTCTTACACTGTAATTGGACAGAAGGATTACATTAGTAAAAGAAGTAAATAAGATCCCATTGATAACCTCATATATCTAAATGCATTTTCTCAATTTCATAAGAACTTGAAATTCACTATAAATTATTATGTTTTAGTATGGATGAATAAGAATACTGTCAACTCTTATATCATTGATTAAGGAAAAGAAAGAAAATATATTCTTCCATCTTCTCTATTAAGAAGAAGAAGGAAGACTAGGCTCAAAGAAATATTGAACAAGTATGATGCCTTAAAAATGTTACACCTATTCTTTATCAGCATAAATTTTGAGAAATCAGAAAGATCTTAAGATTATTCACACCTAATCAATAATATCAATATGCAGTCGTATAACATTACATGACTGAAGAATATGTTATAGGGACATTAGATAAAGATTCAATATCTATAGATGGTAGTATTTTGAGGAAAACAGTATAATATTTATCAAGCTGAAAAAAATACATGCTAGAAAAAACAAGATCTTTCTTTCTAAGCTGGAAATTTTTGTAATTCCCAATGCTCTTTTACTTATATCCTAGAGCCCTTTGAAATTTCGATGTATTATTACTTAGAAGAATATCAGTAGAAGATCTCATACTAGATAGGGTATGGAAGGAAAAGGCATGAACTGATAAACAAGTACCATAATATAAAGATACTAAAAGCAGTGAAAGAACAGGCAATGTATCCTAAATCAATGAAGCTCTTGAAGAGTAACCAGCCTGTGGTATCAATATGGTAATAATAGTGTGTTTCCAAGTCACCCATAACTAAACCATTTCTCCTCCTCCTTCCAATACCTTTTTTGCAATACAGAATCTTAACCCCTATTTAAATTTGTATAGTCCTAGTATTATTTTTTTTCCTTGAATAGAGATAGTAGAGTAGGATATTGAACACAATAACAAAATAGACCAGAGTGTCTGTTAGTGATTACAACAGATCGAATCAGATTAGATTTTAATTAGATTTGATCTGATCTGATTTTTATAAATATGAATTGAATATAGATTTGATTCGTTTTAAATTGATCCGATCAGATTTGAAACTATAACAATTTGATCTGATCTGATTCGAATCTGAATTTGATTTGATTTGATCCGATCTGAATCTGAATTTGAATCCAAATCTGATTTAATGCAAAAACAATTTGAAACTGATTTGATACATTTTGAATTTGTTTTAAAGCATATTCAACTATAACTGCTTTAATTTAACTAAATTAAATTAAATATGTTTAAATTAACTTGATTTTATTTAATAAAAAAATTTTAACTAGTATATTTTCTTTCGAGAATATTTTTAACTTTAAATTTAAAAAAATTTTTTTTATTAAATTTAAATAAATTTATTTATACAACCCATGGTCGTTCACTTGCTTCTATATTAATATACTCCCCTCTATAGCCAGTACTTTCTAAAATAACTTGATTTCCTGTATCATTTTTTTCTTTATTTTTTATTATTGATATTTCAAGTACTTACAAAGCATGTTGATCAGTCGATAATTGATTATGTCAGTAATCCATATAATATGCTTCTCTTTTACCTTCTCTCCATTTTTTTATAGTTGATACTGTTTTTTTGATCAAATTTTTGGACAACCCACAAGTTATATCTTTCATCAGTAATATTATAGTACCATACAATTCATTTTCTAGCCAACAATAAAGAGTATTTCTAATAAAAATTGTAGTAATTTTAATTTGTTAATAACTTAAATTTCCAAAAATTTGTAATGTTTAAAAAATACCTATCATTTCAACTTTAATTTCTCATTTAATCATGTAAAAGTTGCCTCTATCAAAATTCTTTTTACTGCAAGCAAATTCTTTATTGTTAACAGGTT